TGTGAAAACTTCAATGGTAAGTTTTGTTTTAAAGAAGATTTTTGACTAAATTAAGGTTAATTTGCGAAATACAAAAATTTAGTTTTAATTAACCAAAATTAAAATGAGTAGTAGTTTGAATCCAAATTAGTTATAATAAAAATAAAATGTTCTACCTGAATAACAGTAATTTTATTTGTAAACTATAATTACATTAATTTCTCCAAACCAAATTTTGGTCACCACAGCCAATCTTAATGGAGACTAGCCATCTGTGCAGGACAGGATTATAGTGAGAGTATGGTATGTGTACTCACTTTTCCCTCACTCTGATAGTGTAAGGGGACAACAAACTGACACAACCGGAGAGAGATCAGATGCAGGACCAATTTGCCTCCAAAAGCATGTAAATATCTGACTCTGGGCTGGTACTGAGAATTTCTTGACAGAAAAACCCAATAACATTTTATGGCCAGACCAGAGATTGGAACCTGGGACCCCTGGATCAGCAGTCGCACTTGCAACTACTGGACCAACGAGGCAGTCAATTCAAAGTCAAGGCAGGTGACTGATATACATAATTGCTAGCCAAGTCTTCTGACGTGTTATTTATATGACTGTCTTCTCGCATCTTCACTGAGGTTGTAGCAAGTATGACCAAGGGGAAAAGCTATACGCTTATGATAATATACACATATAGCGACACAACTTCTCCCTTTTAGTTATACTGCACTGCTCCAAATCTTGCTGTTGATACCTAAACTGCAGAATTTATAGTAATTTTTTAGCGTTTAGGTTAACAATATTTATCCTTATAACACACGAATATTACAAAATATATCCATAAAAGTATGAAACATTATATAGTTTATAAACAACATCATATCATACAAGATTAAACAAAGGTATTTTAAGATTTTTTAGATGAGAACAATCTTTACTTTTAATTTTCGAAATACCCAAGAAAAGAAATTCATGACACTGCAGTCGTCCAAGCTCATAAATAAAGGTGGCGGTGATTTGTTAAAGTAGAAAACAAGACGAAAGAAATCTATATATCTAAATTAATTTGTATATTGAATGACAAACAATATAAAGTAAAATAAATTTATCAGCACTTTCTTACTTTATAACAAATAATGTTTTAATACTCACTTCAAAGCGCCACACAACACGGTTGTTCACAAAATGGACACCATTCTCTCAGAAGAGCACTATACGAAACTTTAAAAAACAATCCGTCGATGACTTAAGAGTTCAATAAAAATCGAGATAATAATTAATGTTCATCTATAACATAATTGAGATTAAAAGCTCAAATCATAAATACCTCACAATTAAAAACCTTATTATACACAGCCACTACACTTCGTCCATTTTGTTTCCTATGTTTTTTTTTAATCCGACTTGATTATTGTCTTTCAGCCTTAAGATCAAAACTATAACCTGGATATTATTTAATTCACTATGCAGTATGCACATCTTACAATATGAAATTTTTTATAGAATAGTTTTGGTTTTTAATTAGTATGTCATTTTGCATTAACATATCTAAATAGACTTTTATTTTATATGAAGAGCATATAAAATGAAAAAAAAGCTACGCTTTGTGAAACAACATAATACTCTAATTTGTTTTATGTAATGATTTGTTTTTATGTAATTATTGGGTAATATTGCGTTTTTTATACTGCAAAAAAAATTGCCAACTTTTGAATTAGAGTTTAAGTTTAGGTTTTGTTTACGCGTTTACCTTGACTGCCTCGTTTATCGTGTTAACTGTGAACTGTTGCTGCAAATAAACTGAGAATGAAATATCTACGAAACTCGCAACTCGCAAGACAGGGACGTAAACAAAAAACTGTAGGCAGAGATGACCGGGTCATCGTTACCAGCATGCTTAGAAACCGGACCTTAACTTCTTCCGAGGTAATAAAGTTAAAGTAACAATAAAAACTATGAGAAAAATATTAAAATCGGCTGGAATGAATTCTCACTTGCCTACCAGAGGCCCCCTTCTTGCCACATGCCATTGAGTAGCTCGAGATAATTTTGCACGCAATCACGAAAATTGGAACGACGAAACTTGGAGTCAATTGCTATTCACAGATGAGGCCAGATTTTGCCGTCCTCCGTCCTTGATTGCAAGTGTGGAGACGCCCGAGAGAAAAGTACGCTCAGTGCAACATCATTGGAAAGAAGCATAGAAGCGCCTTTGATAGTGGGTCACTAACAGGACTACAAAATGATTTTGAAGAAATTGTAGTGCCATTTGCCCCTTTTATATGATAAAGATTTGTTTTTATGCATGTTAGTGCAAATCGAGACGAGAATTCAATGCTATGGGGTAATCAGCGCGCTCGTCCGACTTAAACCTCATAAAGCATAGGTTAAAGTCGGGCGAGCTCGCTGTCTAAAGGGGGACCTTCACGTTGGCCAACGAATGTGGCGAATGTGTTGGCAAAGATATTAAGATAGCCAAGAGTTTGTGATGGCATCCACACGTTGGAAGGTCGTTCAGTTTGCTTCGGTTCAGGCCAATGTGCGGACGAATATATTAAAATGGATATTGAGGCGTTAACGGCTGCTGCGGTTTATTTATTAACAGCATACCGCTACTACGTGAATGTAAATAAGAAAAGGGTAATCAAAACGAAATGGAAAAAAGAAATCTTATTTCTTCTGTTCAACAGACAATTTTCGGCTTGGTAGAGCTCTATAAAACGAAATGTTTCTTCATTGGTCATTATTACTGCCATTTTATAGACACTAGTTACGATGCATGAATATAAAATTTAAATCAGGTGCCTGCAATCACTCTGGGAGCTCGTAGCAAACTAAAGTGTGCCCAACGTGTGGACGCGGCGGCCAATACTCTGCCACAACCCTTTGATCTTTTGTAAAAAACCGACACCACACGGATCTCGCTCCAACTTGTGGGCCATCATTCCAATACATACGAACGTAAGCACAAACACCTGCTGTACACGATGGCCATTGGTATTGGTCAACATATTGGCCAATGTGAAGAGCCGCCATTAAGATATCTTAAAATGCATTATAGGAAGAATGAAACGCAATCTCTTAAGATTTTATTGATAAATTTGATTAGGAGTATGCTAAAAAGTTTGGAAGCAGTTCGAAGAGCTTGAGTGGGCAACACAAATTACTGATTACATACATTAACAACATTAACACACGTTCTAGCCTTCCCCAAGCATTTATGAAAAAATTTATATGTAAGGTACGAAAAATGTTTCTTTCCTGTAAAGTTTTACAATTTGTAAATTCATTGAGAAGGATTTTTGACATACGACAGTGCGTCAGCCGGGTTTGAAAAAGAAAAGGGCGATGCACCGGCAGGCGGCAGTATATATTAATGCTACAGTCAAAACTAATAACCGGTCAAAACCACTGTTGACTGCAAAAATCAGGCAAAAGTAGTTTAGACGAAGGACGTTGATCAAAATCACCAAACTGTATCGGTTAAAAATGGTTCTGGCCAAGAATGTTAGTCAAAACTACTTTTGACTGGTATATATATTTATTTTATACACTCGATACTTACTCGTATGAGGAAACTGAACTAACAACAAATGGATTAAGACGTATTACTCGTTTTCCTTTCTACTCCCTCAAGATATTATCCATCCTTAAATCATTAATTCCAGCTTAATTAAAGTACATTGTTGAACTTAGGGGGAATATTTGCCATAGATTCCTCTCTTAGCAATTAGTTTGGCAACCGCAATCTTTTATTATTTTGAGTTGCTATCAGTAAGATACTATTATGGGATGGTACGGGGTCTTAGAGCTTCTATGTAATAATATATTATTATTTGGGAGGAGGTAGTAGTTTATTTTACGCGGAAATATCAAGATCCTGCCTTAACAATTTCGAAATATTTACATCCAAGCAGATAAAGTTTTGTTGTATATAGTTGATGGTTTTCCGCTTAGCAAGTGGTTAATTTATATAAATTAAAATCAATTGCCGCATGTATGAAAGATCATCACTTGAGAAGGGCTGGACTGATTTTGATAAACACTCAAACTTACAATTGAATCCGGTAAGTAGCGCTGTTGTCGAGATCTAGAAAACAGTCGTGGGAAGCCGGGGCTGATTGTTAATAAGCATATAAAATTGGCATTACAAATGGGATCCAACTCACTTATCTACCGTGTGTCTGTCAAGACTTAGTATTCACACCTCCCCCTTAACTATATTAGTTTTTAAAGTTTGCGAAACAAATGTTTATAAAGTCGCTCAGCGAAATATGGAGAGTGCTATGCTCGGAGTTTCTTTGCATGATAAGAGAAATGAGGATATCCGCAATAAAATCAGAGTGACAGACATAGCCCAACGGATTAGTAAGCTGAAGTGGCAATGGACCGTACATATTGCTCGAAGAACCGACAACCGATGGGAATAAAGGTTCTCGAGTGGCAGCCTCGTACCGGTAGGCGAAGTATAGGGCGACCCCCCCACTAGATGGAGTGACAATATGGTAAAACATGCAGGAAGTCGATGGATGCAGGTGGCTCAAAACCGTGCTTTGTGGCATTCCTTGGGGGAGGCCTATGTTCAGCAGTGGACTTATGAAAGACTATAATGATGATGATGATGATTATAAACCATAAACAACGTGATAAAAATTATATTCAGCTGTGGACTTGTGAAAGGCTGTAATGATCACTGACTTGGAAGTATAAGAATATAGGTATCTTTATATCCCTATGGTAATGATGATATATACTCTTTGGTTATTTCGATTTGCGACACAAGCACAACAACCACAGAGTACTTTTTTAACAACAACACAACACAACACTGACGCTACCGGAATATTAAAGTCAATGTCATTTATTTTGTGTCTACCTTTTGAAAATAGGTACCTACATATTGATCAAAGAGAAAAAAATCATTGCTCTTAAAATCGAAAATTGTGTTGTATATAAATTTATATTGGTACATGTATTTGAGTATTGAATAATTAAAAACAAAAAATACGGCTTAAATGATGAAACTGGTCGATCAAGTTGTTAGAAGTTTTAAGGTAGCAAAAGTGTTTCGAGAAAACACGGACAAAATAAACAGTATAGACTTTTCACCTAATGGTGAGACATTAATATCATGTAGTGAAGATGATCAAATTGTTATATACGACTGTGAAAAAGGCACTCAAATGATAACAGTTAATAGCAAGAAATATGGTGTTGACTTAATACATTTCACACACGCCAAAAATACAGCTATTCACAGTTCAACTAAAGTTGATGACACAATAAGATATTTGTCTCTTCATGACAACAAATACATTAGGTATTTTCCAGGTCACACAAAAAAAGTTGTTACACTGTGTTTGTCACCAGTGGAAGATACGTTTTTATCTGGATCCTTAGACAAAACATTGCGTCTTTGGGATTTACGTTCACCAAATTGTCAAGGTTTAATGCACTTATCAGGACGACCTGTTGCAGCTTATGACCCTGAAGGACTTATATTTGCAGCTGGAGTTAATTCTGAAAGTATAAAACTATATGACTTGAGGTCATTTGACAAAGGTCCTTTTGTTACATTTAAATTGAATCAAGAAAAGGAATGTGACTGGACAGGATTAAAATTTTCACGTGATGGAAAAACTATGTTGATAAGTACAAATGGGTCAATTATACGGTTAGTCGATGCATACCATGGTACTCCTCTTCAAACATTCACTGGACATCTGAACAATAAAGGCATACCTATTGAAGCATCATTTAGTCCTGATTCACAGTACATTTTTAGTGGATCTACTGATGGTAGAGTACATGTGTGGAATGCGGATACTGGATACAAAGTCTGTGTTTTAAATGGAGATCATCCAGCACCAATTCAATGTGTTCAGTTTAATCCTAAATTTATGATGCTAGCATCTGCATGTACTAATATGGCATTTTGGCTCCCTACAGTTGATGATGTCTAAGTTAAATTTAAGGTTCTTGTTCTGGTATCTTCCTTGTTTCTTAAAGTTGACTAGAGAAAAAAATATGTGACATTTTATAATCTGTCTCATATAAAAACATTTCATCAATCTTTTTTCATAAAGTTGTCGTTGTAAAATGTCATCTTAATATTGATGTTAAATAGACCACTTTATATGAAATAATAGTAAATAGTACATGCATTTAGATGTCATTCCATGAAACATTGTACTTTGTCTTATAAATAAGTAAATTTTAAGATTTATGTATCTATTAATCACAAAAATATGTTTAGGAATATGTATTTCCATCTTAACTTTGAATGACTACATAATACAAAAAAATGGAAGAGTTTTATTTTATCCCAGTCGTTTGCAAATTAATATAAGGATTAAAAATATTTTAATTTCATATTTATCATGTCAATTTATTATTAAAAACCTCTCCTCTGGGAGACATTGATTACTGAAGCTCATCAACATAATTCTATTATATGGTGTATATGATGATTAAAAACATTATTGCCTTCCATGCTAAAAAATATTACTCATTTTTGGCATCTCCACTTCAAATTAATAATATGTTGAAGAACAAGATAAGGCAATGCTCTGTTGAATAACTACTTTACCTTCTGAGCCGCACCTAAGTGCTGTTCTCGAGAGTCATTACGAATCATCTAGCATGCAGACTATGACTTCAAGCCTCCTGAACAAGCCAGTTTCAGAAAACGAAAAGGCTTTAATACCATAGACCACATACATACCCTTCGGCAAATGTTCAGAAGACTGAAGAGTACAATCTACCACTTTGATTTGCATATGTGGACTATGAGAAAACCTTTGAGGACGTCAAAATTTGGGCAGTGCTACAATACCTTCAGGAGTGCCAAGTTAACTGTTTGTCGTTTGGTGCTGAAGTGTTTGTACAGTAGGGCTACGTTGGCTATCAGAGTACAGAACCAGATTACGAAACCCAACTGCAGAGAGGTGTAAAAAAGGGTGACGTTGTATCTCTGAAACTGTTCACCGCTGCATTGGTAGACATTTTCAAGCTACTGGACTGGAAAGGATACAGTATTAACATCAATGGCGAGTACATCACAACTTCTATTTACCGACAATATAGCCCTTATAACATAATCGCTGTAGAAACTAAAACAATGCTCAATAACCTCTATAGTGTAGAAAAATGAACATAGACAAAACAAAGGTCATGTAATGTCCATGTCACACCTATGCACACCTACACCTGTTGTTGGGAGCACTACGCCCAAAGTTGTTGACGAATATGTTTACTTAGGACAGTTAGTGTGTTGCCAGTGATGATATTATATGGATCTGAGAAGTGGTCCTGTACTGCCAGCCGTATAAGGAAGAACAAAGACGTTTAGGTAGCTATGGAGAGAGCTTTGCTTAGGGTTTCTCTGCGTGATATACTTCCTAATGAGGATATCCGCAGTAGAACCAGAGTAACCGACGTAGCCCAACGAATTAGTAAGGTGAAGTGGCAGTGGGCCGGCCATATAGCTCGAAGAAGCGACACGGGGGAAAAAAGGCTCTCGAGTGGCAACGTCGTACTGGTAAATGAAGTGTAAGACGGCTCTCCATTTTAGATGGAAGACCTGGTAAGATATGCATGAAGTCGATGGATACAGGTAGCTCAGGATCTTGCTATGTGGCATTCTTTAGCGGAGGCATATGTTCAGCAATGGATTTGTGAAGGGCTGTGATGAATGATGATGATGATGCCAACATATTATTCTGATCACCAACCTTGGGTGTACTTCTTAAGAGCACCGCCAAGGTTGAATTGCTCATACAAATGTAATACCAAATTAGTTTTTATTCAAACTTATTTGTTTTTGTGATATTATTCGGATTTCGTTAATGATTATCTAGGTTCCTGTTTCTTCTTTCATTATGGTTACCTAAAAAATGTAAGCGAATTGCAAATTGCGTATTTTACATCATATTGGACGTGTTTTTCCGTAAATGTTAAGATGTTAGTATAAAAAACAACCATAATACCACATAGCATATATAGTAAAATTTTATGATAAAGCAAGAAATGGAAATAGAATATTATTTTATTCAATAACATGAGTATTAAGGAACAACTAAACCTCGAACATATTATTCTGAACAGACAGTGGTGGTATCGCGTGTTAGGAATTTTTCCTGTATCGTGGCGGCAATTTACATACAAAAATTGCACATGGACCAACCTCAAGACACGGAGCGATTATTAATAGGTAATGTAAAAATTCTTATTTCAAGCGGGATTCGAACTCGCGGCGCGTAGCGCTGCTATCAAAGCCGTCAAAACGTACTATAACCACAGAATAGATAATAGTATAAGTACTATAACTGTCAATCCGGGCTAATCTTCGGAATGGCTGAACCCATTGTAAAGAAACTTCACGAACACACAGGGAGCAATAACACGACACGCGATCAAGAAAACACTCAAACGAATCCATCTATTATTTTCTAAAAAAAAATTATATTGCTAAGAAAACTGTTTTAAAAAATTTTACGTGGACCTGATTTTCTGTGGTCACGATAAATCTCGATAAAAATTGACGTATCGTGACCGGGGTTTTTATTACTTTAAGAATTACATCAACTGGTTCCCTATTTCATATCAATAGCCTAGTACATGTAGTTTGTTTATAAAATGATTTTCAACTTTTATAAGTTTTATTGTTAATAAAAATTTAAAGGCGCTTTCATATTTTTTTTAGCCCTTGATAGACAAACGCCAAATGTACCATATAAAATCGATATAGGCGATTTTATACTTTGTGTAATCGATTTACTTTGGTAAACATTATTGATTTTTTCCCTGTAGGTGACACTACCTGTTAAAATAATAGAGCGCTAAATTTAAAATACGTACATAATATATTTTAAAAGTCAGGAATACATTTTTTTTTTCATCAAAATTAAATGAAACGCCCATGAGGCGTGAACGTTTGGATTTTCCAAGCTATTTTGTAATATTTGTTTAAGGCGCAGGTTGAGCAAAATGTCGCGCTAGTCGTTATTTGGGCGGTTTTTAGAAGCTATCTACTTTTTATTTAAAAGATATATCAACAAATAAAAAACACATTATATTTCTACATAATCTTGATTCCATAAAAGCTATATCCAATTTTTTTTAAAGGAAAAAATATTAACATAATCTCCTTACAACGAAACCACATAAATGTGAAATTATTATTGATAACATGCATCTCCTCGTAAAGTAAGTATTATTTTATTTTGCGATTTACACCAATGGATAGGCAATTTATTAATGAACATTTCTATAGTAAATTTTTTTTCAAAAGACCAAAATTTGATTTTATTAAGAAATTATTTTAAAATCTGGGCATATTTACTGCTCACGGGCTTGCTGAAGTCAGTGAGCGCTGAGCTCTTCGACGCGAAGCCCGTGTTGTTAGAGCGTCGACCAACGCATACGCCACGTCATATGAGTCGATAATATTATTACTTATTAGGTTATTTATAGGTAGTATTATTTGTTTGTTTTGGGTATAATTTTTCGTATTGGTTATACATATATTTGTTGTGTTTTTTACTGCGCGATGAAGCTTTTTGCGTGTATTTTCTTTGAAGTAAATGCAAATAAAAAAATGAAGCACCATTAGCATGTAAGGTTCGAATCTATAATTAAAATTTCGACAAATATTATAATTTACACTATAAAAGGCTAATTCAATATTATCACCCAACCACAATATCTTATCAGGTATAGTACTGCCTCGTTGGTCTAGTGGTTGTAGTAGTGCGACTGCTGATCATGAGGTCCCGGGTTCGAATCCTGGGTCGGGCCAAAAAGTCAGTTATGAGTTTTTCATTTATGTTCTAAGTTATAATTAGTGTTACTAAGTTATAGTTTTTTGCTAAAATATAGTATATTATTTATTGCTTGTTTTTTCTTCTTTTTCAAAAAATAATTGAGTAAATAAGGTGTTCTATACTTATAATTCGGTAAAAAGTACTAATATACCTACTTTTTACTATAAACTAAAAATTTTTAAAACTAAATTTAACTAAAAAGACTAAACTGACCATTTATTTTTTAACTCATAACAGGACATGGGTTTATTTATACTCTAAAAACTATAACTTTATACAATTAGTGTTCACTATAAAATTATATTCGGTATAGACGGTAATTATTAAATGCAACATATTTTTTTAAATTATTAATTACATTTGTCAGTGGATTAAATTTGCTTTAATAAAGTTGGTGATGATTTTAAATAAGAATAAAATTCTGCTCAAGTTTTTTATTGTTATCTTTGTTAACAACATCGCCTTTAGAACTCTGGAACCGTAAGTGTTTCTTTCAGACGTCCACAATTTATGCAAAATAAAAAAATACTCTTTCTACCGGAGCATTCGTACCAGGTAGACATAAAATATATTCGATTAAAAAAAATTATGTTGAAGATTGTTGACTTTGAATACTTCCATCCAACTAGTTACATGACAATTTTGTGTCCCGGAGCTTTGTTTGGGGACAATGGGACAGGAGACCGAGAAAAGGGACAGTCCCGTTCAAAACGGGACGTATGGTCACTTTAGCTATAACCCGGCGACCATGAAGCAAATACAAAGTTAGTCTTTGTATTAGCTTGATGGTGGCGCAGTGGCTTAGCAATTAGTTGTTGCGCTGGGGGCCGCGGGTTCGAATCCTGCATGGAACAAGTATTTGTATGGCCTACAAATAATTGTTCCGGGTCTGGATGTTTGTCCTTGTGCAATTTATGTTTGTAAACTGCCTCCACGACACAGGAGAAAATCCTAGTGTGGGGGTAACGTTTTTTTACAACTGAAATTGAAAGATTGAACCCTTATACTTCTTGTTGATTTTTGTATTACCTTTATTAAAGTTACCCTTATGTATAAATAAATATAATTACGTATATAGAAATAAAATCGATTTTCATCCTCATCAATCATTGGGGTGAGGATAATATCTGCCAGCATAA